AACGAGAATGCCAAGGGAACACTTTGGCCTATAAATGCTTACTTTTGTGATGAAGGTAACAAATAGAGTACATTCTCAATCATGTCGTGCAATAGAGTTGCCTTGCTCACCTTATCCTTTACCAAAAAATGAGATGGCTAAAATTCAAAGAAATAGCTATCATTAGTAGTAAATTTTTTGACCGACAGAGGAGATTTAGTAAGATTAGGAACATGATAAACATCTTTCAAGCATGAAATTTTTATTGGTAGAAAGTGAAGGGTAAAAGGCAATACCAACACGAGAAATCGGCAAACCTTGATGTCCATTACCTATAGTTATCTGATTTGAACCCTTATAGTCTGTAACATTAGATAGAGTAGTGAAATCTGGAGTCATATGATGTGTAACACTTATATCAGGGTACCATCCAACGGGAGAAAAGGAAGAATGCATTAACGAATATGCAGGTGGCATATACGATGATGGCACCGTATGAGTGTAGCTGGCATAGCTGAATCATGCCAAGCAACATTAGCCTGAGGTGGCTTGAAAGATGATTGTCGTGGTTTATAACGGCTTCTGCTCCTATATGCGGCATGATAGTGGAAAATGATCAGAAAATCTCTCTCTGCCTGCTTTTGCATTTAAGAGCATCTCCAATGGTGCTCTTTACTTTTAACTAGCATTTTTAATGTAAATAGAAAATATCATTAATTATATAAATAGAAGATCAATATCCTCTCTAATGCTACTCTCTATTTAACTCTTTATTTTGATAAAATCTATAAAACCCATAGAGACTTATTGGTGAAGAGGTTGAGTGGCATTGGAAATAGTAATTTTCATTAATAAAATATAAGATAAAGAGTCATTTGGACTCTCTAGTATTGGAGAGCCAAAAACACTCTTTATACTAATTTTAAAGATAAAGATTATAATAAAGAAAGCATTGGAGATGTAATTTAGATCAAATCTCTTTATTATAAAGAAAAATCTTAATATAAAGAGAGCATTGGAGATGCTCTGAGGACCGGCTAATGGTTTCTCTCTTCTATTTCTCCTCAATCTGACACAAGAGTAAAAGGTTCATCTGGAGGTTTTAGAACCACACAATCTAGCAGCCAGATATGACTAAAGTGTGTGGAAATTTGCACAAATAAAATTAATATTAAAGTTAACAACGTACAAATATGCCTTTCATGTCTCTCTCTCTCTCTCTCTCTCTTTTTTATTTTTTGTGAATTGTTCAGGAAGTCTAATTAACTCTATGCTTCTCCAAGTCAACAAACTGTGTTTCTACTAGTTGTTTTTTTAGGTTTTTTATTTTTAACCTTTTATTATTTTGTTTCCTTGACAATTTGCACAGACAAGTAGAGGTTGACTTGGATAGTGCCTTCTACTACTTGCTTTTATTTTTGTTTTAATTTTACTCCCTTTTTTACCTACTTAGTAGGCAGATGTTTTATTTTAACCTCCATGAAATCAAGAAAGGATACAAGTACACTACAGGAACAGGGAAAGGACCCAATAAGTCGATAATAAAGAACTTCCTAGCATCTACCTAGAGCTAAAACCAGGAGGAAACAGCAGATCTCAAAACGTAGTTATATATAAAAATAGATAAAGGTATTTTTCGGCACCTTCTTGAATTCCCGTTCTTTTAAACCACAAGTTCCAAACTTTTCCTTTCATAAGCAGAAAATCCAAACAACATTAATTACATGTTGAACTAAGCAGCCTGCAGACTTGACTGTCACGTTGTGGGGCGTAGGTCCAGGAAAGGTCATTTTCTGGAAATTTATGTGGTAAATACAAAGCTAAAAATGTTATAATTCTAGCTTGACTTGATGAATAGTGGATTTCCTTCCAATTAAGCTGCGATTCCACCGCTAGCACCTCTCGGTTGAATTAAAATTATATAGAAAAGCCTATATAGCGTGTAAATGAAGTTCTTGAACTGACGATCGAATTAGAGAAGAAAATTAGAGAAATCTCATGAAGTAATTGTTAATAGTCGAACATACGGATATAGAGAATACTAGCATAGCATCCGTACGTGCATCGTGGCCGCTGATAAGTCAATATAATATGTTTTAATATTTTAAATAATTAAAAAATTTAGACATAACATAAAAATTATATAACAATAATTGTGATAATTTGACAGGAATATTTTTTTATTTTGAACAATAAAAAAGAAACAAAAAAAGGAAACATGCAATTCATTATTTATTTTAGTAAATCAAATTAGTTAAATCAATTTATATTAGAAGAGTGTTTAATTTTACTTAATGAGTCTATAAAAAAATAAAAAATAACCATTAATAATGGAGAAATTTTCTTAAGTAAATAATAAAAAAAAAGCATAAAAAGGGAAAATTATTTTGATAAGTGATTAATAAATAAAGAAAAAAATAAAAGCATTAAAAAAAGGAAAAAAAAAACTAGGTTGGGCTCACACCAGGCCCTTTCTCATGGGTCTGGAGACAACCAGACCCACGTTTCTGAGTTGGCAATATGGCCCAGCCATAAAAAAATATAAAGACCTTTTTGCAATAAAAATTAAATTAGGGACCAGTTTGTTTAAATTAAATTATAACTTGAAAGACCAACGTACGAAAAAGTGGACAAAATGACAAAAAAATCATATATATTATATATATATATATTAAGTTAAAAAGAAAAAAAAAATGAAGTTCTGGTGATTTTTGAATCCCTTTCAACACAATTATGAATTCTCTGGCTTTGTACTTCCAATCACCAGTATGTTTGTAGACTTGATATCTCTATCTATGAAAAAACACATTCTAATGCACCCTAAAACCCAAAAAACCGAATCCTCCTCTCTTTCCCACCCTGAACATTATGGACTTTGTCTTAACGCAAATAAAGTGTAGGGATTGTTTAGTAAAAAACAAAACTCCAAGAATCAAAATTGTAAAATAGTACATAAAATTTTCAATAAAATCAAACTATTATTATTATTATTATTATTATTTTAAATAAAAGTAGGTCGCTTCAAGCCGAAACGGCTTTAAACTACATCGTGTTGTTCACTTAAATAGCAGCAGTTTAGCTGTAGTGAAACTTAGCATTTTCTATAATGTATGAAAGAGAGGTTTTGTATCAAGTGTTGAAGCAGCATGACTATCCAAACTAGAATCTGTGGATGCAGTAGGAAGGTCCCAAGGCGCCTCCATTCCTTCATTTATATCATATTCAGTCTCTTCGGGAACAATGAAGTCCTCTTGTACTGATTTATGACGATTTCCATGTGATTTTTGAATCCCCTCCAACCCCATTGCGACTTCTTTCATTGTAGGCCTTTCTTTCCCGTTTAACCTCAAGCAGCTCATAGCCAAGATAGCTACCATCATCATATCTTCCTTCTTGCCAAGCTTCATAACTCGAGGGTCAAGAATGTCATACAGACGATTACTCTCCATGGAGGCAATGAAATATGTAGCTAAACTTCTGCCTTCTTCTTCTGTCCTTGTGAAAGAGATCGCCTTTTGCCCAGTAAGAAGCTCGACTAGGACTACACCGAAGCTATAGACATCACTCTTGTCTGTGAACTGGCTTGATTGGAAGTACTCTGGATCCAAGTACCCAAAGGTGCCTTGCACTAGAGTTGTGACATGAGTTTGGTCAATGGTTACTGACCTTGATGTCCCAAAATCTGCTACTTTGGCTCTGTACTTGTCGTCCAGCAGTATATTCGTCGACTTGATGTCTCTATGGTAAATGGGGATGGAAGCTGCCGAGTGCAGATAGAAAAGTGCCGCTGCTACCTCTGTTGCAATCCTTAAGCGCATCTCCCAAGTTAATGGGATTTCCTCATTTGGGTCGTGGAGGAACTCGTAAAGGGTCCCATTAGGAATGAATTCATAGACCAACAACGGAACTTCGGTCTCCAAGCAACAGCCCAAAACTTTAACCACATTTCTATGGTTAATTTGGGATAGAATAACAACTTCATTAATGAACTGCTTGAGTTTTCCTTCATCGAGTATCTTGGATTTCTTGACTGCGATGATTTTTCCATCTGCCAACATCCCTTTGTAAACTGTTCCTTGGCCTCCTTGGCCGAGCATTCTATTCACATTGTAGCGGTCAGTGGCCTTGTCTAATTCTTTTGAGGAAAACATTTTGATTTTCTCAACATTGACTTCTCCTGAAGAGAGTTGCTCTTGAAGCAATAAACCACCATTCCTTTTGAAGTATTTTTTCTTGAGTTTTTCCCTCCTCTTTCTCTTGACTACTTTGTACAGCCACCATAGACCAATGAGTAGAAACAATGCTCCAAATCCCACTCCAACACCTGCATGATTCAAAAAATTACAAACAAGGATAAAGGTTAATTTTTTATAGTTCAGCAATGATCATCTGTTTTCTGGAATCAAAACGATACTTAGAAAGGGGCAGGCAAAATTGCAGCTAATTCTTTCCAGAACAGAACTCAGAAAAACAAAATCTGTTTGTTGCTTCAGTAACGCTCCTGTATCTGCAATTATTTAATGCTGCGGGGATGGTTTTCTGGTCATAAGCACTTGCATCTTCTGTGACTTCCTAGCTCTTATCCATAACTTCGATTTTGTAAACGTATTTTCAACTTGTTTGGGCAAGAAAGTCTGTATTCTATAACATCAATTTGTTTCCTTTCAAGTTTCCTCTAGCTCATCTCTTTCCAAGACCAGTTTGATCTATGTTTACGCTTATAAATAGTCAATTATGACATTAGTAGCACTAGAAGGAGACGAGGCAACAACCTAGCTTTTGTTTGACGACACTTTTCGATGCCAGTCGATTGTTTTCTTGGCCCATTAAAGTGTGACATAATCTGTATGCATTTAGTGCCCCCAATTAATGAGTGTAGATCTATGTTAATATACAGATTGAAAAACAAATTCCTTAGTGTCAAAATCTCCCCTTTTTTTTTTCATCTCCCCATTGTTGGAATTCTCAATTTTTGTCGTGAAAAGAACGGATGGTATTAACATTTTTCAGGTTCTAGATGATTATGTCTTGGTCATAGCAACAAGTATTCTTACTGGTATAGAGTGAAAGTGCAACAACATACCTAGGCCGGCCATCTTAGCTTTGATATTCCGCCGGTAAAAGCTGAGTGATGCACCCTCTGCCACAAATGGAGAAACAGAGTTTTTTCAGTACCCCAAATAACAGTAAACTATGCAAGAAGAATTAATAGACTAGGAAATGCTAACACGAGTTTACCTCGACAAACACCATCAAGATAAGGATTTCCTCCGAAGCCTGCTGTGCAAGAACATTGAACTGTTGAGCTCTGGTTGGTTGAATTGATGGAAGGATTCAGAATTTCACAATGAGAAGTATAACTTGAATTATCGAATGATCCATTCTTGACAAGTGATTCAAATACCCTTTTGTCTATCCCCCAATCAAGCTCTACAGGAACATAGTCCCAATCTCTCATGTAATAAGGGGCCTCGTTCTGTCCGTAGTAACCAATACCATACGCTCTTTCGTTGATCCAAATTTGATAAACTAAATAGGCATACCTGCATTCAGTATCTTCCCTCTTTCCTTTCCCATCATCCACACCTTTCAAGGTTACATTAAAAACCTTGAGATATGAAGGAATCTTGGTCTGGCAACAGTTGATGCCAGTGCAGGTAGTCATTGCGCTTTCACTATTCTTGTCACAAATTGATATGCACCCACCAATAGTTGATTGATTCTGGTTCATTAAGGCCAGGTTGTCGCAACCCCTTGCAATGAAGTAATTCCATTTGGAGAAAGCAAAAGGGCTTCCTTCCAAGTCAACAACTGTGTTTCTTTCTTTGCCGCCACAATTTGCGAAGACAATTGGAAAGTCTACCTCAATAGTGCTGTCGTCAACCCAAATACGTCTCACCTGCAGATCAATGCCGTTTACAGTAAGTATGGGAGCTGCACTAGTAGAGTTGCAGCGTAGTTTGAAACTTTCTTCTAGGTAACATCCTGCTTTCATTCCAAAGGGATATGGAATCTCAATGCCTCCACAGTAAGGTTGACAGGCAGGCCGTGTCATAATCTGTGCTTCTGCAATAAGCAATGACCAGAACAACAGTGTGGCGGGAAACACTACTGACTCCACAGCTGCCATTCTTTTTCTTCTGTTTTCTGACAGTAGCTTTCTTAACAGAGAGAAAGTATAATGCAGGCTTTTAATTACTTGGCAAGTTCCCTGTCATATAACAAGTTTTCCAAAATTGTCTTACCCTTTCTACTACTTTTTCCCCTCTCATTTCATGCGTAGAAAGTTCAAAACCATATTGAGTCTATAGAACCACATATTGAATTAAGCTGCCAGACTTGACCATGTAAAATACATTATCCTATTGTGGGGTATGGTTGCAGCATCACTCAATTTCCAGAAAATATAGTTGTAAAATATGGTTAAAAAATCCTCATGCTAGCTAGCATGATCCTTCAATTCTAGTCCTTCCCAATTTGCAGGAACTCCAGCTAAAACTTCTTGTTTTTTGGATTCTAGCAGGGTACATATTGCTTGATGATCGAATGTGTGAATCGAAAATCCTATATTCAAGATCTAGTTGGACCATATAGATCGTTAACCGGATCATATATGATAAATTCAGTCAAAAATGAATTAAGTTAATACATTTGTACTAATCAACCAACAATTAGTTATATATTAGAGTTGAATTGATATGATTTTTATTGTTATTTTTATATCACATGAAACTGGCTTATTATACGCCATCAATGGCCAATCATAGTATATAGGTCCCGTAATAAAATATTGCACCATGAGCATCGATTCAGATGCGTAGTTCATTTTGTTTAAAGGAAGTTAGTTTGAATTGATCAATTAAGTACTTATTGCGTTTTCACACAATACAACAAGTGCATGCCATTGGCAATGCCGGCCGTAAGTTTTTAATTTTTATTTGTTTAATATATGAATTTTTCAGACTTGAATATTTAATAGATTATTTGGATTAATATGTGTTTTGGTTTTAATAGAGGAAGTTAAGATCTGGAAGTGAATGGATCATTGACTTGTATGTTTATTTTTTTAGTACCATCAGCAATGCATGCTATTTTTATTTGCTAAATGAATTATATATATATATATATATATATATATATATATATATATATATATATATATATATTTGGAATAAATTTAGAAAATGTTTGAATTTTTTATTGTTATTTGGACTTTGTTTGTTCGATTTACAATATGTTTGAATAATTAATGATTTTTTATCATTATATTTTTAAGATGTTGATTAATGAATTTGTATTTAAATTTTTATGCCTAGTATAGTTTTATGCTTTAATCTTATTTAAATAAATAATTATTATGTTTTATATAGACTAATTCGGACCATTTGGATTAGAAGGACTTTTGATGTGGACCAAAAGGCCTTGGAATTTATGGAGCGGCACAACATAGTATTGTGATGGGATTTGGGATTTTTGGACCTAGTTTTATGAGAAACGAGCCGGGGATCAAAACTCATCGGCTTTGCCTATGATGTACATGTTATTTTTATAAAAAAACATCATTTAGACCCTCAAATTGCTAATTTACTATTCTCGTCCATATAATAGCGAGTTTTTAGGATTTTTCCTATTTAATTTTGGATTTTTAGTGTTTGTTTCCCTTTCAAATTGTTTTAGGGTTTTGACTTGAAATTTAGTATTTATGTAAGATGTTTAGGTTGAAAAAATGCCACTTTTACTTGCTTAATAAATTTTATAAGAGAGTATCTCAAAATTTTCAATTACCGAGCATTATTTGTATCAACGGAATTGAAGCATATTTCCCGGTATTTATCCGCAAATTAACAAGTTATAGTAGATTGGTACCGAATATCAAATCAACGGTAATTATCATTCTTTTGTGAGTTTTTGCTACGTCGGTTGATATCGAGCCCGGATATTGCTTTCCGATCATGCCGTCGAGGAGACGAGCAGCAGCGATAACAAGATGTGGATGACTCGTATGAGCACACCGATGTTGTGCGTTTAAAATAGCGAGTTGAGTAGCTAAATGATAGGATGGAGCGGTCCCTGCAGCGAGTTAGGGATGCTCGGTCTAATAGATGGATACGCCGACGATGAACATGGATATGGGTCCTAGAAACCATAATTGAAATCACCATTGGGAGGCATAAAAGCTGACCAAGAAGACGATGAGGATGATGAGAAAGTCCTAGCCGGGAGGCATCGAGTTCCCATAAGGGGCCCGACAATAAAAGGTGGGGGAGTGGTATACGGACGGAGATTCTCGAATTTCATGACACTCTTCAAGTAAAGGAATTTCTAGATTGGTCGTCGACAATGGAGGAGATTTTGGAGTTTAAGGATGTCCCCGAGGATAAGAGGTACCCTTTGTAGCCACCATGTTTGGAAAGAGGACGATTGGTAGATGGGAGTAGGCGAAGGCGACTAGAAATCGGATGGGTAAGCCTAAGATTACATCTTGAGAGAAGATAAAGAAATACATGCGTATCGCCTTCTTACCCTATAATTTTTAGAGGATGATATACCAGCAGTTACGGGATTTGAGACAGAGGGCTCGGTCGGTAGATGATTACACGGCGGAGTTTTACCGGTTGCTAGCCTTGACGGAGGATCGGTTGGTGGTGAGGTATATCGGGGACCGAAACCACGGATTAGGGACTCCATTAATATGTTCAATCTTGTGTGTCTTTAAGCGACCTTTACGAAGGCATTACCGGTTAAGAAGCAATCGCGTTGTTCTAGCAGCTTTACTAACCCCTTTAGTACGAGAGGCGGTAGTGGCGATAACGAGTTAAGTAATGGTGGTGGTAGTGTAGGTCGAGCGAGGGGCGATGGTAATAGGGGTCGAAACGACCCCGTTGCTTGGACGATCTGGTAGAATAACTAGTAACAACATAAAATGCTTCGATTGTGGTGAAATTGACCATAGGCGATCGAGTGTCAAAAGATAAGAAAGAAAATGCTTTATGTTGATATAAAAAAAATATGATAAAGCTAATGATAAGTTAGCTAGTGAGCCTATCTATGATGATAGAGGTGCCCTAGAAGAAGAGATTATTATCGAAGATGAGGGGATGACATTGGTTGTGAGGAGGTCTTGCCTAATCCCTCGGGTCACCGAGGATGATTGGTTAAGGAGTGACATCTTTTAGTCCACTCGCACCATTCGGGGTAAGGTATGTTGCTTTGTCATTGATGCTCGTTAGTTATGAGAATATTGTGTCCGATAAGGCAATATAGAAATAGAGCCTCAAAACAGAGGAATATCCGAGGCCTTACAAGCTGGCCGGGCTAAAAAGGGAGACGAGGTAACTCGTTTCTAAGCGTGCTTTATTGTCATTCTCTATTGGTTCCACATACAAGGATGATGTGTAGTGTGATATGGTTGTCATGGATGCATGTCATTTGTTGTTGGGAAGGCCATGACGAGTATGATAGGAGTGTAACCCATAAGGGGCGGTTTAACACTTACGGGTTCCTAATTAATAGGGTGAAAATTATGCTCATCCTAGCAAGAATCCGGTTGTTTCCAAGCCTACGGGAGACGATAGTAAGTTGTGTCGTTGGCTCAATTTAAGGAAGAGGTGCGGGATTCGGGAGTGATTTATGCGGCTGATAGGGAGGGAAGTCGAAGCCGAGGTAGTAGTGTCGGAGGTAGTGGCCACTTATTATGATAGAATTTTATGATGTGTTTCGAAAGAATTGTCTAACGGGTTACTCCCATTACGAGATATCTAGCACCATGTTGATCCGGAGCCTAGGACGATTTTGTCCAATAGACCCCATTATCGGATGAGTCCTAGTGAGCATGAGGAGTTGAGGAGACGAGTTGAAGAGCTACTTGCTAAGGGGCATGTGCGAGAGAGCTTGAGTCCTTATGCCGTACCGACTCTATTGATGCCAAAGAAAGATAGTTCTTGACGCATGTGTGTGGATAGTCGTGTTATTAATAAAATTACAACTCGGTACAAGTTCTCCATTTCTATGATTGGATGACTTGCTTGATCGAATCGGTAGGGCAACGATCTTTACTAAGCTCGGATCCGAAGAGTGGATATGATCGGATACGCATTAGGCCTAGAGATGAGTGGAAGATGACCTTTAAGACACATGAGGAGGCTGTATAAGTGGTTAGTCATGCCATTTGGGTTATCAAACACGTCAATCACTTTTATGCGTGTCATGAATCAAGCCTTGAGGCCATTTATCAATAAATTTATTATTGTTTATTTTGATGATATTTTGATTTATAGTGTTGATCCGAAAGTCCATGTTGAACATTTGAGGGAGGTTTTGACGGTGCTTATTCGAGATAAGTTTTATGCAAGCAATGAAAAAATATATATCCATGAAACCCAAGTGTCGTTTCAGGGCTATGTAATTTCGAGAGATGGGTTGCGGGTAGATGAGTCCAAAGTCGAGATGGTGAGACAGTGGCCACGGCCTAGCGATATTACGGAGGTTCGACATTTTCATGGGTTTGCTTTTTTTTTTTCTTTTTATCAACACTTTATTCCTTACTTCGAGCAGATCATAGCCCCGATTATTGATCGCATGAAGGGAATAAAATTTACATGGTCCGAAGAGGCATAAGAGATGTTTCGACAGATTAAAGTATGATTGACATCTACATCGATTTTAATGTTGCAAGATTTTATGTAACCATTCGAGCTACACAATAATGCATTGAAGTTGGGTATTGAGGCGGTGTTGAGCCATAATAGCGGACCAGTAGCCTACTTCGGTGAGAAACTGTTAGGTGTAAAGCTTAATTACAACACTTATGATGTGGAGTTCGAGCGATCAAACACTAAAGGCATTACTTATTCCATAAAGAATTCATATTGTATATCGACCATAAGGCGTTGAAGCATCCGCACAAGCGAGGATAAGGTATCAGCAAAGACATGCAAGGTGGGTTGCTTACCTACAACGAGTTCACTTTTGTGGTTAAGTATAAGGCTAGGGTCACTAATAAGGTGGCGGACGCACCGAGTAGGAGGAGTTGCTTGTTGACACGTATGCGAATCGAGGTACCTGGTTTAGATTCATTTTGTGACTTACTTGATACTAATCCATATTTCTCTGTTGTTTTGAAGAAGGTCC